TGCACGCGTTCTCCCTTGGCTATCTCTTTAGCCGATTGGCACGTGATCCTTGAACGCTCCTGGGCTCGTGCACCTCGCATCTGCACTCGTACCCGTCGCTTAGGCCATGCGTGCGTAGTTTTGGCCCTTTTCTCGGCCTTCTCGAGCCTTCTCGTCTCTTGGACCTTCTCGTCGTCGGGGCTCGAAACCCACTTCCGCATCAGAGACCCTGAACGCACCCGCTGTGCGCTGCGAACATACGCACATGGCTGACTGCGTGCTGCCGGGCGCGCTGGCGTGCACTGTGCGCGCCTACACGCAAGTCCACTGGCAGCCAGCTACTGGGCACTGCAGCACAGCTACAAGCAACTCCCGGCTGGGCACTGCAAGTCACCCGCAGGCCTACACATGACTGTCGGGCGTTGCACCCGCTACGTCCTGGCAGAGCACTACGGTCGGCACTTCGCCGACCGTCCGGCTACTTTTTCCGGCAACGATGACATGACTGAACATAATCTATATATATATAATTGCTGGCATGTAGCATTTAATAAAACCTATTTCATAAAACCTCTAAAATTTTCCCTCCATTTTCAGTTACAAAATTTATCATTAATGTTTTTTTACTTCTCACATTGATACACCCTATTGATTGTAATCATGTATGTTTCTATTATATTATATAATAGTTATTACTAATACCAACTAATAATAATTCACAATAAATATAAATTACATAATTAAGAACAATTGTTTAAAGTTACATAGTTATATTATTTATTTTAACATCAATATTATCTTTTTCTTTTGTATCTCATGATTTTTTTAAAAAAAAAATAATTAGTAAATTGTTAATGACATAGTCAAACAACGTTAGAATCTCATAAAAAATTATTTTTAATAATAATAATATTAATATATATATAATTGCTGGCTCATGAGCATTTAATAAAACCTATTAAATTATACCTATGTGGCAATATAATTTTTTCCCTCAAAAAACCGTTACTTTTTATTTATTTAACCTCTCATTTAATTATTAGGTAATCAACACACTAATCACTTCAAAATTACAAAATTCATTTTAAATTTTTGATTTACTTACAGATGACCATATAATGTGTTGACTATTTAACGTGATTAGATGTTATAGTTGTGGTTATAGTTAAATTAACTTTTTTTAAAAAAAAATAAAAAACATATTTAAAATTCCTAAATAAATAATAAATAATTCACAAAAAAATATACATACCAAAATATACATTACATCCAATATGATAAACACAATTTAAAAAAATAAATATTTCAGCTCCTTTAATTGTAAATTTGGCAAAAATCATTAACCATTATATGCACACGAATAACTCACAATACTTTATTTATATATATGTGCAAATGCACAGGTCGAATACTAGTATGACTTAAAATGACTAAATACACATAAATCGTTCAGGAGTGTTCGGCTAGAATATGATATGGCTCGGGAAGGGCCTAAATGGCACCTCCGAGTACACTATGACCTTAAACATGATCTAACTTGAATATTCCTACATGATCTTCTTAACATGGACATGAAATAACCAAGAGAGGGTTAGCATAAATATACCCTTCCGATTGCTTGTAAAACGGGCTATGACTTGCGTGAACTCTCGCTTGCCTTTCCTCTCGGTAGTGCACGCCTTCCTTCGGTAATGACTAGTGCGATTTACTTACTATTTTATGCTCACAAAGTACTATCTTTTTCTCTTGAATTCTTGCTACCCTTACTATCGGTTTTCTTTCTTTTCTCTCAACAAATGCTCGGTTATTACTCTCTCTCAATATAATAAATTAGGGTAGCATTTGGTGGTGATTCTTGGCAATAGTTTCATGTCCTCGGCTATAAGGCAAACTCTCGGCCATAACTAAATAATTTGAGGAGGAATGTTAAATAAACAAGGTGAGCTCGTCCTTACTACTCACGTGGCTTTAAGTAAGTAATTTTAAAGGAATTGATCTATTAAAATAATGCTTATGAGAACACACGTCCTCATATTATCACTTAGTGGCAATATATAATCTAAAGCAAGTAGCTTATTCATGCTTTAGGTGTCAAGACCTTATAAATACTATTAAGGATAAGGCTAAAAAAATAATCTTAAATAAGGCTAAATAGTATGGTTTAAAAGCACCAAAATGAGCTTAGCCAAAATAAAGCGCGGCAATTGGAGTAATATAAACCAATAATTCGCATGAAATGAACCTTAGCATTTAGAAAACTTTGCTACTACACAATACTTGAGCTATAGCTTTGGAACACTTAGAAAAATATATGTTATCCACATCAAATAAATATATGTTATTCACATCAAATAACAGTGTCGTGTTCGAAAACAAGTCTTTACTTGCCCCTATTTACCCTTATTTTTCTCGACTTTCTTAAATGTGTACCATTTTCCTTTAAACACGTCAGGGCGATAAATATATGTTATCCACATCAAACAATGGTGACGTGTTCGAAAACAAGTCTTTCCGGAGACGTTGCTTACATTTTTCGTACTTGCCCCTATTTACCCTTATTTTCCTCGACTTTCTTAAAAGTGTACCATTTTGCTTCAAAACACAATGGGGCGATAAATATATGTTATCCACATCAAATAATGGTGTCGTGTTCGAAAACAAGTCTTTCCAGAGACGTTGCTTACATTTTTCGTACTTGCCTCTATTTACCCTTATGTTACTCAACTTTCTTAAAAGTGTACCATTTTGTTTCAAAATACGATGGGGCGATAAATATATGTTATCCACATCAAATAATGGTGTCGTATTCGAAAACAAGTCTTTCCGGAGACGTTGATTACATTTTTGTACTTGCCCCTATTTACCCTTATTTTTCTCGACTTTCTTAAATGTGTACCATTTT